GCTCTCTCCCCAGCCTCGTCCTTTTCGGCTTCCCTCTCCTAGCCTCCACCGCCCCTGGACCTCGCCCACCTCTCCCGTGGCCTCCCCCACTCCGCTTCCTTCCCCCAGGCCTTCACCTGCTCCCCACCCCATACCTCCCTGTCCCAGACCTCCGTGCCCGGCCTCCCCTCCGTGTTCTCTGGCTCCACCGCCCCTCCCCCATCTCCCTCCACCTCTCCCTTGGTCTCCACCTGTTCCCCTCCCTTTGGCCTTCCCAGGCCTTCACCTCTCCCTCCCCCCCTTTCTCAGGCCTTCCTGCTCGGCCTCCCCGTCCCCTTCCTCTGCCTCCACCTCTCTGGGCCTCCCCTTGCCTTCCCACCCTCTCCCCTGGCCGCCACCTGTTCCACATTCCCCCACCTCCCTGCCTCCCTCCTGGCCTTCAGGTTCTCCAGCTGGGCCCTACACCGGGCTCCACAGGAAGTCGCCGGCGTTCCTCTCACCGAGGGTCCAGGCTGAGGGTGAAACCGCTTCTCTGTTGACGCCGCCCGGCCTGCCGAACCGAGTCAGCCGCCTCTGGACCTAGGCTCGGTGACACCCGCGCGGCCCGGTGCAGCCTGGAGGGCGAGCGCGGGCAGAGCTGGCTGTGCTGGGTTAACTGCACGCCCCTCGGGACTGTGACCGCTTGGAAGTTCCAGGCTGCTTCGTGGCTTGGTTGATCTCTTCAGGACTGCTCTGTTACAGTATTTCTGCTGTCATAGAGTTACTGCAAAAATGTTTCAGTTGTTCTGTGTGTGGCATCCTGTAAATTGTGCATATCAGGTTATCTCTTACGGCTCAGGTCAGGGACCAGTTTGGCCAGTCACTGGAGGGATTGAGTCTGTTTTAAAGATAAGTTCAGAGGATTTAGTCACTTCCGTGGGGTACCTTTTACTTCTAAACTGCCACAGGACAGTGGATGTCTTGGTATTGTGTTTAAGGGCAGTCTGGCTTTCATACAGTTTAGGCCTGGTTTTATTTGGTTTGGTCTTCAGGAGTTTTTTCCTTTTAATAAACTTTTTTTTTTTTTTTTGAGATGGAGTCTTGCTCTGTCCTCTGTCCCAGACTGGAGTGCAGTGGCGCGATCTCGGCTCACTGCAACCTCCACCTCCCGAGTTCAAGCTATTCTCCTGCCTCAGCCTCCTGAGAAGCTGGAATTACAGGCGCGCGCCACCATGCCCGGCTAAGTTTTGTATTTTTAGTGGAGACGGGATTTCACCATGTTGGCCAGGCCAGTCTCGAACTCCTGACTTCGTGATCCGCCCGCCTCGGCCCCCCAAAGTGCTGGGATTACAGGCATGAGCCACCGCGCCCGGCCAGTAGACTTTACTTTTTAGAGCAGTTTTTAGTTTGCAGCAAAATGGAGTGCAGTATGTCCTAAATCCCCTCCTTGGACAGCCTCCCGCCCCACGGACACCCCTCCAGAGTGGAGTCCTTCAGGGACCCATCTGCCACATCCGAGTTCGCGCTTGGTGTGCGTGGGGATGAGAAACCGCGTCAGAACATCACACAGAACAGCTCCATTCCCTGAACATCCTCCGCTGGGCCTAGATTTTAAATCCTTTCTCTCCATAGCAAGTCCAGTTGTTATCTGGAGAACTCTAGAGGTGCTGCTTTGGTTATCGTTTGCTGGCTTATGCTCGAATTAAACACGGTCTGTAGTGCCTGGCCTGTGCCTGCGCCCCGCTGGCTGGCATGGAGCCTGGGTAGGCCATTGGTCCGCACTGCAGTGGGGCTGGGTGCTGGTGAGCCCAAGCGAAGGTGAGCTTACCAGCCCCGGCCAGGGAGTAGACGTCATGTCGCTGCTTACTCGTTTATGCCAGGAAATGAGGAAACAGGAGTGTTTCTGTCAGTAGTTGTCAATCTTAGCTGACCCGAACGGGCTGGGATGAGACCCTGGCCTCAGGGTCACGTTGTTTGTGTTCACGTTGTTTGTACAGCCCGGGCTGAGGACAGTGGACGTGAGTCCCTGATCGTAGGCTTATGAGGAGACATCTTACATGACCTGAAGGGCAGCCTCGTTTCCAGAATTTTCTATGAACCTCGACATACTATAAATGCACACCAGGCAGGCTACATTGCGTCTTACTGTTGTGTTGTAGATGCTTTTCTTTTTTGAAAACTGAGCTGTTTAATTGGTTTAGAAAGAGATTTGCTTTCCTCCTTAGATGAAACTACTAATTTTATCTCTGGCAGAAACAAGTCTTTGGTGCATGACGCTTACGGCGATACGTTTTTACTGCTGGTTGAATTTGTCACTGAACGTGTAGCAGCTCCCAAATGGCACGGGTTGTGATAGTGCCTTCAACCTGATTGTTCTTCAGGGATCAAGGCGAAGGTGTCAGTAGTTACTAAACCATAGAACGCGAGCCTTCCAGTGGGTAGAGGGGCCATAGAGCTGTGTGATGAGGAACTTTTATGTCGTTCAAGATTCACCCTGATGCCTGCCATGCCTAGAGATTTGTATATAAATATTTGCTGAATTTGCCAGGCAGTGGTGGCTCACGCCTGTAATCCCAACACACTGGGAGGCCGAGGCAGGTGGATCACCTGAGGTCAGGAGTTCAAGACCAGCCTGGCCAACATGGAGAAACCCTGTCTCTACTAAAAATACAGAATTAGCTGGGTGTGGTGGCGCCCGCCTGTAATCCCAGCTACTCGGGAGGCTGAGGCAGGAGAATCACTTGAACCCGGGAACTGGAGGTTGCGATTAGCCGAGATTGTGCCACTGCACACCAGCCTGGGTGACGAGAGAAATTCCGTCTCGATAAATAAATAAATATTTGCCCAATGATTAACCAGCAAAAGTGGATCTCCCCAAAATAAACACAGTGTTCCTTGTTTTGAGCCACTTCTACGGTGACGGGATTTGTCAGTTTTGGTTTTCAGTGATAAGTGCCTGGTCGAGGGAGTATTTTCACAGTGAAACTGGGGAGGTGATGAGTGTTCTGTGCCCTTAAGCCCTCTAGGGAAGGGAAGCCTAGAAGGAAGGGAAGCCTCTAGGGAAGGGAAGCCTTCTGGCCACGTGTGACGTTGTGGGGTCACCTGGCACGGGACCCGGGCATGGTGCGGCTTAGCTCAGAAAGCCTGGACTTTGGGGTCACACGCCACCTCTTACGGGGCCCAGGACACGTTACTGAACCTCTCATACCTTGGCTTGGAGCCTTTCAAGCCAGGAATGAAGACTGAGTCAGCAGTGGCAGCTGTCACCTCACTGTCACCCTCACTGTCACCCGCTGAGACAGTGTCCTTGTCTTTCCAGGGTAGAATTCCATGTGGATTCCCAGCTCTGCTTCAGAGCACTCCATGGGTGGGTCGCTTCCGGAGAAGTCACATTCCCCAAGTTACGCTCTTTGTTTTTTGAGACAAGAGTCTCGCTCTGTTGCTCAGGTTGGAGAACAGTGGCGCGATCTCAGCTCACTGCAGCCTCTGCCTCTCAGGTTCAGGCAATGCTTGTGCCTCAGCCTCATGAGCAGCTGGGACTACAGGCGCCTGCCACCACGCCTGGCCAATTTTTGTATTTTTTGTAGAGATGGAGTTTCACCGTGTTGGCCAGGCTGGTCTCGAACTCCTGACGTCAGGTGATCCGCCTGCCTCAGCCTCCCAAAGTGCTGGGATTATAGGTGGGAGCCATAGCACCCAGCCATTTTTTAAAATGCTTTTCTGCCCATAAATATATATAATTGCACGTTTACATTTAAATATTTATGAAAAATGTGTAATTTGGTGAGGTCTGACATGAGTGAACTATGACCAGTCAAGACATGGAATATATCATGGCTCTGTGGGGCTCTGCAACCAGGCCTCCTCGCCCCCACTCCCACCCCTCCGCACCCCTGGCACCCATGCATCTGCGGGCTGCACTTAGGTGAGGTGGCGTTTCCTGGACTTTTATGTACGTGGAATCACAATGTGCGCTGTCTAACCGCTTGAATTCACGCACCATGGTGACTGGGAGACTCCTCCGGGAGAGTCCGCAGTTCCTTTCATTGCTGAATGGTGTTCCCTGTGTGTCTCCAGCAGAATCGTTTCTCTGTTCAGCTGTCAGGTGAATCTGCCAAAAGACAGTGTTCGTTGACGTATTTTTAAATATTCTAATGTTTGTTTAAGCCTCGGGTTTGTGTGCAGGCTTTGTTGATTTATTTTTAAATATTCTAATGTTTATTTTAGCCTCAGGTCTGTGTGCAGGCTTGTTATATAGGTAAACTCGTGACTGGGGTTTGTGGTACAGATTATTTCAGCACCGGGTACCAAGCATGGGTACCTGACAGTTTTGTTAAAATGATTTTTGAGTCTCTTCCTCTTCCCTCAGGCAGGCCCCGGTGTGTGTTGGCCCCTTTCTGTCCCTGTGTTCTCATCATTCAGCTTTCACTCGGAAGTGAGAACATGTAGTATCCGGGATTCTGTTCCTGCGTTAGTTTGTGAAGGATAATGGCCTCCGGCTCCTTCCAAGTTCCTGCAAAGGGCATGATCTCGTTCCTTTTTATGGCTGCATAGTACTCCACGGTATATATGGACCACATTCTCTTTATCCATCTGCTACTCACAGGCCCCCAGCTTGATTCCACGTCTGTGCGGTCGTGAGTGGTGCTGCAGTGAGCGTTTGAGTGCGTGCGTCTTTATGGCAGAACCATTTAGAGTTCTCGGGGTATATATGCAGCAGTGGGATTGCCGAGTCGAATGGCAGCTCTGTTCTTAGTTCTTTGAAGAGTTGCTACACTGCTTTCCAGGATGGTTCAGCTAATTTACACTCCCACCAGCAGGGTACAAGGGTTCCCAAGAGATACCCTTTTTTTTTTTTTTGGAGACAGAGTCTCGCACTGTCACCCAGACTGGAGTGCAGTGGCGCGATATCAGCTCACTGCAAGCTCCGCCTCCCAGGTTCATGCCGTTCTCCTGCCTCAGCCTCCCGAGTAGCTGGGACTACAGGTGCCCGCCACCTCGCCCGGCTAATGTTTTGTATTTTTCGTAGAGACAGGGTTTCATTGTGTTAGCTTGATGGTCTCGATCTCCTGACCTCGTGATCCACCTGCCTCGGCCCCCCAAAGTGCTGGGATTACAGGTGTGAGCCACTGCGCCCATCCAAGAGATGCTGTTTTAACTCACAGCCACAGCAGTTTAAGGTGAAGGAGAGGAAGGAATTGGGAACCCAGCAGGTTTGGTATCCCTGGGTGTGCACCCCACAGAAGTCGCGCAGCAGCTCCTGGTTCGCCTGGTTGTGCTAGAGAGAAGCCGACCTGGTTCACCTGGTTATGCTAGAGAGAAGCCGACCTTGCCCCGTAGATGGCACTGGTTATGGTCATCACCTGATTTCTCCACACTTTTCCCTGCTGGGTTGAGGAGTCGGCATCCAGGCCGAACGGATTATTAGTGCTCTTCGGAGCCACCATCCAGGCCTTGAGGGGCCTCAGCCTTGGCTGCAGTATTTGTAGATTCACTTTTAGAAACTTGATGTGGCTGAGACCGCAGCCTGGGAGGCAGTGACCTGCAGCAGCCGCCCACACAGTGGTGGGTCCGGCTCCTCCTGCCACATGGTTGCTCTTGCAATGTGTTTGCCTGATTTTTTTTTATTGTGGTCTCTGAGCTTCTTTTGTTTCTTCAGTCATCTAAAGAGATTTTTTAAAGGAAAATGGTCCAGTGTGTGCGGTGCACACCGTAGCCCAGGGCCCAAGAGGGGCGTCGTGTGAAGGAGCTGTGCTTGGCGGCTCAGGTCCCTTCTCAGAGTGAGTCCTGGCAGAGCGGAGCGGCCTCACACTCCCTGCAGGAGCCCCGCATCGGGGCGGGTGGCTTCAGCTCGCGGCAGTCGGTGCAGGGGTCCTTGTGAGGTCGGTCTGGCTGCCTGTCCCCGGCACCTGCGTGTGTCTTGAGTATTTCCTCTTCATCCTCCACGCGTCCCTGGTGGCTGAATGCGCAAGCCAGCTTCCCTCTGCTGAGAGCGAAGGGCAGGATTCGCCCCAGGAGCTTGGTCTTCCTTCATTTGACACCAACAGTTTCTGCCAGTAGTTCTCAGGCTTGCATGTCTGTGTTCTACTTTTTAACGTGTTTGTAAGAGAAGAGCAAAGTCAGCTAGATTGTTTGTCCAGACACTTTGCTCTGTGGATACAGATGCTTTGACCGGCAGAGAGCACCATCGCTCCCTGGCTCTCAGCGCCTCTGTCAGCAGGCAGAAGCCGTTTCCCTGTCTGGAAGGCATGTCTGGGTGTCCACACAGCACGGCCAACGGTGCGCAGCGTGCAGAGCCGGGCCGGGAGAAGGCCCAGCCTTGCCCAGCTGCCCCCTACTCTCCCTGGCCTCGGGCCTGAGAGGGTACCCGTCCCGGCTTAGTCACCCGGAAGCCAGAATCCTTCACAGCTTCCGAAATTCTCCAGTGCAAGAGGAAGCCATCCATGTTCAGAGCTGCTTTAGACGGTTTGCCCGTCACCGGCATTCCTGGACCTGGAAATAGGCACCCCCAGCCAGGCCGGGGACCACTGTGTGCCCAGAATTCTCTTCCTGTTCTTTTTCCCCTCGCCTGGCTCACAGCTGCCCCGGGAAGAAGAGAGCGGGCCGCAAGGCGCAGTCCAAGCTGGGCTGGGGGCCGAGACCATTGGCAGTGCCCCCCACAGCAGGGTTCTCGTGCAGGAATATGGGTCACTGCCTTCCAAGGAGTCCTTTTTCTTCTTCTGGTTTTTAAGCTGCCACCACTTGCTTTACCTCCGATAGAAGCATCCAGAATGCTGTAGTATCAGCGTAAGCAGAAGCCGGTGTGGTGCTTGCTCAGGGTCAGTGCATGCGGTTCTGCCCATGGCCCTGCCGGCGGCAGTGTGAGGCCGGGTGTGTCTGGAAGCCTGTTTTCCCAGATTGCCCTGTGCCAGGCCGCTCCCGGCCTCCTCTGAGTCAGTCACGGCCCTGCAGGACTGGAGCCAGGATGGCCGGTCACAGAGTCAATGGTCCTGTCGAGGCTCCTGCTGTGGTGTTGGGGTGGGTCTCCCTGCAGAACCTTCACTGTGCAGGGAGCGCAGCAAAACCTGAGGCCCGTCGGAGGCCTGCGGGCTGACGGGGGGCGGGGCACTTTCTTTCTTGGGTACAGGCTTTTCCCTCCTGGTGCCCTGCCTCTGTGCAGCCCGACGGGTGGGAAGGCATGTGTGCCAGGCTAACAAGATGCCCCAGTCATGGCGGGGTTGTGTGTGTTTGGGATCCCCAGCTGTAGTGCCTTCTGAAGAGGAACCCTTTTCCTGTGGTTAACTGGGCAGCCAGCCCTTCGCGTTCTCAGCCGGCCGTCCCATCCTGGCAACACCAGGCTCACATTCCGGCCCTCACCGGCATTGCTGTGTCTGTTTACCACCTGCACTGCAATTGTTTTTTGTTTGTTTTTGGGGGATGGCGCCTCGCTCTGTCATCCAGACTGCAGTGCAGTGGTGCAATCGTGGCTCACTGCAGCCTCGGCTACCCAGGCTCAAGCAGTCCTCCCACTTCAGCCTCCTGAGTAGCTGGGGCCACAGGTGCACACCACCATGCCCAGCTAATTTTTGTGTTTTTCGTAGAGACAGGGTCTCACTATGTTGCCCAGGCCAGGCTCAAACTCATGGGCTCAAGCGATCCTCCCACCTCAGCCTCCCAAAGGGCTGACATTACAGGTGTGAGCCCCCGAGTCTGGTCTGCACTGCCATTTACTTAATATTTTTCTTTAACTAGATTTATTTTTAAACAAGGCTTTGTCCAAGGACATTTGGCTTACAGACACAGAGCTGATTAACTGGTTATGTATTTTTTGATAAGGCAGTTAAGAAAAATGTGTAGCTGATGAAATAACATGTGCTGGGCCCCACCACTGGGCCTGGGAGGTGCAGCGCGTCCCAGCAGAGGCCGCCTCCTGCCCGCCACGCCTGCTGTTCTCACCGGCAGGGGCTCTGCTGCTTAGAGCAGTGTGGCCATCTCGACTTCTCTCCTCATCGTCTGTCGCACACTGGTCCCCACCACGCCTCTCGCCGCCCCTGACTCTGTCCCTGTGTAGCCCGAGGAGCTCCAGCTTTCCCCGCCGACGGTGCTCTGGGAGTGGGGACGTGATGCAACGGTGCACCCCAGACCCTTCCCTGTCCTGGGGGGAGGAGTGCGGCACGCAGAGGGGCAGAGGGCAGGGACACTGGCCCCGTGGGGGAAGAAGGTGCTGCTGTCACAGCCATTACTGTCCTTGGTGGGACCCCAGCCTGGAGTCCGCCATCCTTCGGCCCCGCCTGTGGCCACTGAGCTCTCAGGTGGCCACGTGCACATCCCCTGCTCCTTCCCTGTCCTCCTGCCTCGCCCAGTGGCCTTTCTGGTCCCAGCTGCTGAAACCAGTGAGCTGCTCCAGGGTGAGGCTGCTTTCTGGCTCCTGGCGTATTTGGACACAGATGGGCCTTAGTAAGTGTCCAGAGGCGCCCCACGCTCCCTCATGGTCAGCATGATGCCCAGGACAGACCCTCTTCACACAGCACCTGGGCCTCGGGAGCTGCTGCCCTGTTCTTGGTGAAAAGCATCTGTGCGTAAGGGGAGCACCGCTTTTAGGATGCCACCGTTCCTGGGCGCCTTGTTTTTAGCTTCTGACCTGAAGATGAGCGGGGAGTGTGGTGGCGAGAACGTGTGGGTGCGGCTCACGGTCTCCTCTCTGTGGCAGGTACATGTCCCAGAGCAAGCACGCGGAGGCCCGGGAGCTCATGTACTCGGGAGCCCTGCTGTTCTTCAGCCATGGTCAGGTAAGCCGTCTTGTTCCTCCTGCGTCCCTTCCTGCTCCGGGCAGGCAAGTTGAGGTGGGAGTGACACGGGAGGGGCCTGACGGGCATACCTTGGGCTGCCCTGGGCCTTGGCCACTGGGCTGTGGGTGGCGGAGGGGCCCAGAGTCCCTGGCTCGGCTGCTCCACTCTCAGGGCTGAGACGCTGCGCTGCGTTTGTGCACAGTGGGGCTGAGTGGGCATTTTGGTATAAACGGCCCTGTCCATTTTCGTTTGATTCTTGGCCAGGAGATCTCTGTTTTTTGGCGGCATTACCAAGGGACGTGGTGCTCAGAATAGACTCCTCAGCACTGGCCGCGCTCTGGCTTCTGCTGGAAACGCAGCCTTGTCTTTTCTGTCCTGGACAGGTTCAGAGCTTTGTTCTTGATTTTTGTGTGTTTCTCTCTTTTGTAGCAAAACAGCGCAGCAGACTTGTCCATGCTTGTCCTGGAGTCACTGGAGAAGGCAGAAGTGGAGGTGGCCGACGAGCTGCTGGGTGAGCATCTGGCCCGTGCACCCCGGGACCCTGTGACGGTGGCCCCAGTGCGCCCCTCCCCGGGCCTGCGCGCCGTGTTTGGTGTCTGCGTTTGGGGGTCCGCCGTGTTTGGTGTCTGCGTTTGGGGGTCCGCCGTGTTTGGTGTCTGTGTTTGGGAGTCTTGTGCTCTGGGGTTCACCCTGCCGCAGAGGCAGTTCTCACCCGGTCCCGGTGAGCCAGGCCCCCTGGCTGGCCCTGGCCCGAGCACACTGCAGGCTGAGCAGCACCTGCTGTGACTCGTCGGCAGGGTATGATCGGGGCCCTGGCCTCTCCCCTGCTCTGATGGACAGTGGCCTCCCCGCCAGCTGGCAAGGTGGGCACTGGTTCAGGGTGGGGCACCATTTTGTCCAGGGATTTGACTTGTCGGCGTGTCCTGTCGGGTGAGCGTGGGGTCAGCAAAGCCCTTCTGTGGGCGGCCTGGCTGCGAGTCCCACTCCTAGTCCCTGCTACTCTGGGAGATGCCCCCGAGCCAGAGCCGGGTACCCAGAGCGGCCACAGGTGTTCCTGGACTCCAGACTCCCCACGGCACCTTCCCCAGCCCCTGCCTCGGCCAGGGTGTCTGTCCTTCCTCACTGTGCTCTGGGACCCGTGGTGCTGGCACCGCGGTGGGCAGGTCAGCAGGGTGGCCCATGGCTCACTCAGGGACGCCCACCAGCTTCCTCTCCCTGTTAAGTAGTTGTGGAATGAAATCCACTTCCGTAAGGTGTGTGGTACAGAGAACCGGAGTTGCTGTGCGTTTCTCTGATGAGGGTCTGTGCTCTTTGCAGAAAATCTGGCTAAAGTGTTCAGTCTGATGGACCCCAACTCTCCTGAGCGCGTGGCCTTTGTGTCCAGAGCCCTGAAGTGGTCCAGTGGCGGCTCCGGGAAGCTGGGCCACCCCCGTCTGCACCAGCTGCTGGCCCTCACCCTGTGGAAAGGTAGGTCTGGGGCCAGGGCAGGCGTGGGCCCCTCTCTGCTCTCACGGCGTTGATGTGCACTGTGCATTCCAGTCCATCAGGGTCGCCCACTGGGGCAGGGGTGGGGTTTCACCCTGTGGTCACGTGGGTTGGTCCATGGAGGCCCGTGCACCATGCCAAGCCCCCGATCAGATCTACTGCCCCTGAGAAGCTGCAAGACGGGGGCAGGCGACCACCTCTCCAGGCCTTCCCGTGGGACGTTCTGACCCTCAAGGAGGCAGCCGCACCCTCACAGGGCCTACACGTGCTGCTGCTCCTTTCTGGAACGTTCTTTCCAGTGCTGGGATGATGCCATGCCTTGTTTTTCTCCTTTACACTGACCTCATCTTCTGATGAAGCCTTTGCGGGGATTAATCACCCTGTGGTGGGGCCGATGAAGCCTCTGTGCGGGTTAATCACCCTGTGGTGGGGTCTGGCTGTCTGTGTTCTGCAGCTCTGAGGCGGGAGTGGTGTTGGGTAAATATTGAGTGACTTGAATGGTGCTAATGGGGGTTTAGAAGCGTCCTCCCCAGGGCATTCCCTGGGAAATGGGGTGGCAAGTGGCCCCAGTACCGTGAGATGGTTTCCTTCCTGCCGTTGGGAGGCCTGCTCGGGTCTGCGTGTGCCTGGACTTGGTGGGTGGGGGGGCGGTACCCGGGGCAGCCCCGCATTGGAAGCTCTAGGAACTTGGATCTCGGCTGAAGGCCTTTGCTCCAGAGACCAGGGCTCTGAGCTTGAACAGCTCCTCCTAGACACAGCTGTGCTCCACCCGGCGCGGTGGCAGCTGCATGAGGGCCCGTGTGCTCTGCACACGTCAGCAGCCCCGAAATGCACGCCCGTCCGACCTTGTCCCTGGTCATGCAGGTTCCGCCTGGGCTGTGACAGGAGGCTCAGCACCCTCAGGCACCTGGCAGGCCCTCCTGACCTTCTCCCCAAGCGACAGGAATGGGAAGGTTGCAGATCCGAGTAGAATTAGAAGGCTCTTCTCAGAGGAGCCTGGCAGAACCCGGCCCTGGATGTGTGCCGAGTGGCAGGGCACCCACAGGGAGATGAGCCAGTGCCCACCTCTCACCTCAGTTTCCCTGTGGTCGCCTCCTTCCTCAGAAGGGGCTGGCCCAGGCTGGTGCCTCCTTGGTCCCTGGAGCATACCTGCTGCCACCTTCCCTGGCCTCTGGCTACAGCAGGCCTCCTGTACTCCACCTGTCCCCGAGCCAGCACACCTCCACACAGAACACGGCCGCAGATGACCCTCCTCTGCCCTGCCTAGCGAGCTGCCGCCTGTGTGGGTCCCACTGCCAGGTTGGGGAGTCAGGAGCTGCCCCCACACCCTGCCTGGGAGCTGTCGCCCATCTTTTGGATGAGTCAGGAACACCTACGTCAACACTGGGTGGCCGCCCTTGCCACACCTGCGCACGGGCCCTGTGGGGAGAGCCAGGCAGTGGGTAGCATGGGACAGGTGATGCCCAGTGCCCAGGAGACCTGCATGGCAGTTCCTAAGACAGGCACAAGCGATCATGAGGGACGTACGTGTCTATCTCCCCACCCACCACGGGGTTAGGTTGAGGCAATCCAGGGAGCACGTGGGAGGGCTGTGCTCGGTGCGTCCGCAGAGATCCTCTGAAGAGGGGCCCTGGCTGCCTCCCACTGGGGTAGGCGCGGGCCCAGGTCCCCGACAGCATGACAGTGCTGTGAGACTTCGATGGACCTCACCCGGGGAGCCCAGCCCTGCTCCACGCCAAGGTGGCCACGCACGGCCTCTGCGGTCCTAAGCACAGGCCCCATACAGGACCTGACGCTGGGGCTCCACGATACTTGGGCTGTGTGCTTCCCTGGTGCTTCCCTCCTGGGGATGAAATCACACCCATAGGTAAAGGTTTGGGTGTGTAGGGAGACAACAGGAGACAAAGCAAGGTGACAAGGACTCTGGCAGCCACAGAGGCAGCAGGAGGGCCCTGGAGGCTCCTGTTGGGCAACGCAGTCGGGAAAGGGCCCACTAGGTGGGAGAGGCAGGCGCCTGGTGAGTGCTGAGATCTCCACCACAGGAAGGGCTGGGCTCCCAAGGCATGCATGGGGCCTGGGAGCGGAGTGAGTGTGAGCAGGTGTTAGGACGGGGCCTGGGAGGCCGGGTGAGTGTGAGGCGGAGTGTTAGGGCGGGGCCTGGGAGTGGAGTGAGTGTGAGAGTGGGTGTTAGGATGGGGAGCCTGGGAGGCGGAGTCAGTGGCGAGCAGGTGTTGGGACGGGAGCCTGGGAGCGGAGTGTGGGCGGAGTGTTAGGATGGGGCCTGGGAGGAGTGGAGTGAGTGTGAGCGGGTGTTGGGGACGGGGCCTGGGGCCCGGAGTGTGGCGGAGTGTTAGGGCCCGGGAGCCTGGGAGGCGGAGTGTGGCCGGAGTGTTTTGGGGCCCGGGGCCTGGGAGCAGAGTGTGAGGGGTGTTGGGACGGGAGCCTGGGAGTGGAGTGAGTGTGAGGGGGTGTTAGGGCCCGGGGGCCTGGGAGGCGGAGTCAGTGTGGCGGGTGTTAGGACGGGGTCTGGGAGTGGAGTGTGGCGGGTGTTAGGGCCGGGGCCTGGGAGGCGGAGTGTGGCGGGTGTTGGGACGGGAGCCTGGGAGTGGAGTGAGTGTGGCGGGTGTTAGGAGCCGGGGAGCCTGGGAGGCGGAGTGTGGCGGGTGTTAGGACGGGGGCCTGGGAGTGAGTGAGTGTGAGAAATTGTTAGGACGAGGACCTGGGAGGCGGAGTGGCTGGGTGTTAGGGCGGAGCCTGGGAGGCGGAGTGAGTGTGGCGGAGTGTTAGGACGCGGGAGGCCTGGGAGGCGGAGTCAGTGTGAGGGAGTGTTAGGATGGGGCCTGGGAGTGGAGCCCAGGTGTGACGGGTGTTAGGGCTGGGAGCCTGGGAGGCGGAGGTGTGGCGGGTGTTAGGGCCGGGGCCTGGGAGCAGAGTGTGAGGGTGTTGGGACGGGGCCTGGGAGTGGAGTAGTGTGAGGGGTGTTAGGGCCCGGGGCCTGGGGCGGAGTCAGTGAGCGGGTGTTAGGACCAGGCCTGGGAGCAGAGTGTGGCCACGGGTGTTAGGACGGGAGCCTGGGAGTGGAGTGAGTGTGAGGGGGTGTTAGGACGGGACCTGGGAGCAAAGTGTGGCGGAGTGTTGGGACCCGAGGCCTGGGGAGCAGAGTGAGTGTGGGCGAGGTGTTAGGATGGGAGCCTGGGAGCGGAGTCAGTGTGGCGGGTGTTAGGACGGGAGCCTGGGAGCGGAGTCAGTGTGAGGCGGGTGTTAGGATGGGGCCTGGGAGTGGAGTGAGTGTGGCGGGTGTTAGGGCGGAGCCTGGGAGCGGAGTCAGTGTGAGGGTGTTAGGACGGGGCCTGGGAGTGGAGTGAGTGTGAAGAGGCGGGTGTTAGGGCCGGGGCCTGGGAGCGGAGTGTGGCGGGTGTTAGGAGCGGGGCCTGGGAGCGAGGTGTGAGGAGGTGTTAGGAGGACGGGCCTGGGGTGGAGTGAGTGTGAGGCGGGTGTTAGGATGGGGCCTGGGAGGAGAGAGGGGCGGAGTGTGAGCGGGTGTTAGGGCCGGGAGCCTGGGAGGCGGGTGAGTGGCGGGTGTTAGGACGGGAGCCTGGGAGCGAGGTGTGGCGGGTGTTAGGACGGGGCCTGGGAGCGGAGTGGCTGGGCGGAGTGTGACAAGGCACATTTCAGAGCCCAGAAGCTGTTGTTTGAGCCTTATAGGCAGGCTGAGAAGCGGAGGTTTAGTGTGAGCGGGTGTTAGGACGGGGCCTGGGAGCGGAGTGTGAGCGGGTGTTAGGACGGGGCCTGGGAGCGGAGTCAGTGTGAGCGGGTGTTAGGACGGGGCCTGGGAGCGGAGTCAGTGTGAGCGGGTGTTAGGACGGGGCCTGGGAGTGGAGTGAGTGTGAGCGGGTGTTAGGACAGGGCCTGGGAGCGGAGTCAGTGTGAGGGGGTGTTAAGACGGGGCCTGGGAGTGGAGAGAGTGTGAGTGGGTGTTAGGACGGGGCCTGGGAGTGGAATGTGCCTTTGAGATATCAAGGGTTGATGGTTGGGTCAGTGTGTGAGCACATCAGGCTGTTGTGACTGTTGATTACGTGCTAGATGCACTGTCCTAGGCCCTGATTTCATTGCTCCCTGTACGTTGATTGCGTGCTGGATGCACTGTGGGCCCTGATTTCACATTGCTCTCCTGCGTTGATTGCGTGCGGATGCACTGGCGAGGCCTGATTTCATTCCTGTCGTTGATTGCGTGCTGGATGCATGAGCCCTGATTTCATTGCTCCTGTAAGTTGCTTCTGGTAGGGTCAGTGTGTGAGCACATCAGGCTGGTTGTGACTGTTGATTACGTGCTGGATGCACTGGCGAGGCCTATTTCTGCTCCTGTATGTTGATTACGTGCTGGATGCACTGGCGGTACACTAGTTTGTTGCTCCTGTCACACGTTGCTTCTGGTAGGTGGGGAGAAGTCCCATGGTAGCTGGATGCACTGGCGAGGCCCTGATTTCATTGCTCCCTGTAAGTTGCTTCTGGTAGGGTCAGTGTGTGAGCACATCAGGCTGGTTGTGACTGTTGATTACGTGCTGGATGCACTGGCGAGGCCCTGATTTCATTGCTCCCTGTATGTTGATTACGTGCTGGATGCACTGGCGAGGCACTGATTTCATTGCTCCCTGTACGTTGCTTCTGGTAGGTGGGGAGGGTCACATGGTAACGCTCTGTAACTGATCATTACGATGCACGTTAATGTGATTGGATTAAGCAGCTCTGAGAGCCTGGAGGATGAAGGTGTTGCCTGGCTGAGTGACTGTTCCCTGGTGATCTGTTTATGTGGTGCTGTGTGTGAGGTGTGGGCCGGCTCTGAGTCCCTGTCGGGTACCTCTGCCTGTGGGCTCTGGCTGGGCTCTCCTCCAGGGCGGGCAGGTGGACTACAATTAACATAGAGTATCTTTCCACTGTTCCTGTTCTATATTATATTCATGAAATGCATTCGAATTTTTCTGTGTTTCCTTTGCAGAACAAAACTATTGTGAGTCGCGGTATCATTTTCTGCACTCGGCAGACGGGGAGGGCTGTGCCAACATGCTGGTGGAATACTCCACGTCCCGCGGCTTCCGCAGCGAGGTGGACATGTTCGTGGCCCAGGCCGTGCTACAGTAGGTGTTTGTGGCTCTTCGGGTCTTGGCTTCCATCGCTGCCTTGGCCGGGCGGCCTTAGAGCAGGTCCCCTTGTCCCCTGCCCGGGCCGAGCTGCAGGATAAACTGAGTTCACTCTGGGCAGAATCCACAGCGCACATGTCAGCCAGAGGCACCCATGGTTTTTCATAAGTTTAACCAGTTTCAAGAAGTATCTTAGAAACTCCCCCTTTCCCGACGGCCACTGGAGCGCCTTCCACACTGCGCCTCTCGCCCGCTGCCGGGAGGCCCCGCGGCCTCTGCTCTCCTCAGGCCTGCCTCGGCCTCTTCCTTCCCGCAGTATCTGGAAACGCGGAAATGCACACCCAGGTCATAGAATGGTGAGCATCTACCCCGCGACCCCTCCCGCCAGCTCGCTGGGGCATCCTGCAGGCCAAGCTCCGGGCGCTCCTGCTCCAGGCGCTGGCCTCCGCTTCCTTTCTCATGAAAGCGTTATTTGTGTCCATCAGTGTCTTCCCACAGAACAATGTGGATTTCAAGGCGGGCGTTGGGGAGTTAACGTGGGATCTGGGGACAGACACCCTCTGACCTCGGTGCTGTGCACTGCAGAGCTCTGCCAGGAGCTGGCGTCGGCGACTTAGATGAAAAGCTGGGTCAAACCTGGAGCTCCCTGGCTCTGCGCCGCGTTGCGTACACGTTTTCTCTGGGCTGACAGTGGCTCTGCGCCGCGCTGCATACACGTTTTCTCTGGGCTGACAGTGGCTCTGCCCCTGGGACACTGAGCCCTCCCCGTGGGCCCTCCTCAAACAGGAGCCAGGGTCTGTGTGGCACCCGCCAGCTGCTGGGCCGTGACTGAATGTTCTGGTGCGGGCCAGCGCCTGAAGGGTGCGGGCAGCCTGAGGAGAGGAGAGCTTGCTCAGTGCATCGCATAGATAGGGCTCAGGCTGGGGCCCAGCTCTGGAGCCTGGTGACCTTCCCAAGCTTCGTTCTCTTCACCTGTGAATTTCAGGCTTCCCCGGTGTGCCCTGCATGTGAGGGGAGACACGCGTGAAGCACTGGGTGCCTCCGTGCCTAGGGCCGCGGGACCCGTGGGCGCATGAGGTTGGGAAGGACGTGTCAGAGGCTGGCGTCTGTGCGGCCAGGAGCCGTGTCCTCCAGCCCTTCCACCACCAGCATGTTCTCATTTCCAGGTTTCTCTGTTTAAAAAACAAAAGTAGCGCGTCGGTGGTCTTCACGACGTACACCCAGAAGCACCCGTCCATCGAGGACGGGCCTCCGTTTGTGGAGCCGCTGCTCAACTTCATCTGGTTCCTGCTGCTGGCTGTGGACGGGTGTGTCTTGGTGTCTTGGGGGTGGGATGTGAAATGTGTGTGTTGTGTGTAGACGTGGCAGGGGTAGCTGTGTGGATGTGCGTGCAAGTGTAGCCATGGTGGGGGTAGCTGTGTGGGTGTATATATAGGGTATGAGTGTTGGGTGTAGACATGGTATGGGTAGCTGTGTGGGTGTATGTATAGGGTATGAGTGTTGGGTGTAACCGTGGTGGGGGTAGCTGTGTGGGTGTATGTATAGGGTATGAGTGTTGGGTGTAGATGTGGTATGGGTGTGTGTGCAGGGCTGTTGGGTGTAGACATGGTAGTTGGGTAGCTGTGTGCGTGTATGTGCTGTAGTGTGGGTGTGTGCAGGTGAGTGTTGGGTGTAGACTTGTGGGTGCAGGGGTGGGTGAGTGTAGACGTGATGGTGTGGGGGGTTGTGTGCAGGTGAGTTGGGTGTCGATATGGTGTGGGTAGCTGTGGGGGATGTGTGTGCAGGTGCTGGGTGTCCATGTGGTGGTGTGGGTGTGTGTGGATGTGTGCAGGTGTATTGTAGATGTAGAGGGGGGAGTGTGTGCAGGTATTGGGTGTCTGGTGTGGGTAGTTGTGTTGGGGTACGTGCGAGTATGTGTGTTGGGTGTAGACATGGTGAGGGTGGGTGTGTGGTGTGTAGGTGTGTTGTCTGTAGACGTGTGGGTAGCTGTGTGGGGGCGTGCAGGTGTATTGGGTATAGACGTGGCAATATGGGTTGCTGTATGTGTGCAGGTGTTGAGTGTAGACATGGCATGGGTAGCCATGTGGGTGTTTGTAGGTGTTAGGTGTGGGTGTGGCGGTATGCACAGGTGAGTGCTGGGTGTAGGCACGGTGTGCGCACATGTGTTGAGTGTGTAGGCGTGGTGTGTGTAGGTGAGTGCTGGGTGTAGGCACAGTGGTGTGTGCAGGTATGTGTTCAGTGCAGGTGCGGTGGTGTGTGCAGGTGAGTGCTGGGTGTACTCGCGGTGGTGTGTGCAGGTGAGTGGTGAGTGCAGGTATGTGTTCAGTGCAGGTGCGGTGGTGTGGGCAGGTGAGTGTTGGGAGTAGGTGCAGTGGTGTGTGCAGGTGAGTGCTGGGTGTACTCGCGGTGGTGTGTGCAGGTGAGTGGTGTGTAGCCACGGTGGTGTGTGCAGGTGAGTGTTGAGTGTAGGTGTGTGTGCAGGTGAGTGGTGTGCGCAGGTGAGTGGTGTAGGTGTGACGTGTGCAGGTGAGTGATGCACAGGTGAGTTTGTAGGCACGGTGGTGTGTGCAGGTGTGTTGGGCCTAGGTGCGGTGGTGTGCACAGGTCAGTGCTGGGTGTAGGCGGGGTGGTGTATGGGTTAATGGTGTGTGCAGGTGAGTGTTGGGTATAGGCATGGTGGTGTGTGCGGGTAAACTGGGCGTAAGTGTGGTGGTGTGTGCGGGTGTGCGGTGTAGGCACAGCGTGCAAGTGTGTGTTGGGTATAGGTACGGTAGTGTGCAGGTGAGTGGTGTGGGCAGGTGTGTGTAGGCACGGTGTGGGCAGGCGAGTGGTGTGTGCAGGTGAGTGCTGGGTGTAGGCTCGGTAGTGTGCACAGGTGAGTGGTGTAGGCGCAGTGTATGCAGGTGAGTGGTGTGTGCAAGTGAGTGTTGGGTGTAGGTGTGGTGTATGCAGGTGTATGTTGGGTGTAGGCGCAGTGGTGTATATAGGCGTGGTGGTGTGTGCAGGTGACGTGTGTGTAGGCGCGGTGGTGTGTGCAGGTGTGTTGGGCATAGGTGCAGTGGTGTGTGCAGATGGGTGTAGGTGTGCACAGGTGAGTGGTGTAGGTGTGACGTGTGCAGGTGTTGGGTTTAGGCACGGTAGTGTGTGCAGGTGTTGGGCCTAGGTGCGGTGGTGTGTACAGGTAAGTGTTGGGTGTAGGCGCAGTGGTGTGTAAAGGTGAGTGTTGGGTGTAGGGCAGGTGTGTAAAGGTGAGTGTTGGGTGTAGGCGTGGTGGTGTGTGCTGCAGGTACGGTGGTGTGCATAGTGAGTGGTAAGAGGTGTGGGGTGTAGGCGCGTGGTGTGCGTGGTGCTGGGCCTAGGTGGTGTGTGCAGGTGAGTGGTGCGAGAGTGGTGTGGGTGATGGTAGGAGGTGTGGTAAGGTGAGTGGTGTGGTACAGGAGTGGTGTGGGTGAGTGGTGTGTGCAGGAGTGGTGGGTGAGTGGTGTGCAGGAGTGGTGTGGGAGGAGTGGTGGGTGGAGGTGTGTGCAGGTGAGTGGTGTGGGAGGGTGTGAAAGGGTGAGTGGTGTGTGCGGGGTGAGGAGGAGTGGTGGCAAGAGTGGTGTGTGCCGGGTGAGTGAAAGGTGAGCAGGCAGGGAGTGAAAGCAGGTGAGTGGTGTAAGAGCAGTAAGCAGGAGTGGCAGCAGAGTGGAAGGCGGGTGAGTGGTGCGGTGAGTGGTGCGTACAGGAGTGGGGCGGGTGAGTGGTGCGGTGAGTGGTGTGGGTGAGTGTGTGCAGGAGTGGTGGGTGGAGTGGTGTGGGTGAGTGGTGTGTGCTGGTGAGGGTGTGGGTGAGCAGCGGTGAGTGGTGTGTGTGTAGGTGAGTGGTGTGTATGTGGGTGGAGTGGTGTGGGTGAGTGGTGTGCAGGTGAGTGGTGTGTGAGTGGGAAGTGGGTGAGTGGTGTGTGTAGGTGAGTGGAAGGGTGAGTGGTGTGGGTGAGTGGTGTGTGCTGGTGGAGTGGTGTGGGTGAGTGGTGCGGTGGAGTGGTGTGTGCTGCAGTGGTGTGGGTGAGTGTGGTGAGTGGAAGCGGGGGTGAGTGGTGTGTGCGGTGAGTGGTGTGGGTGAGTGGTGCGGGTGAGTGGTGCGGGGTGGGGAGTGGTGTGTGCTGGGTGGGAGGTGTGGGTGAGTGGTGTGGGGGTGGAGTGGTGCGGTGAGTGGTGTGTGCTGGTGAGTGGTGTGTGCTGGGTGGAGGAAGGGTGAGTGGTGTGTGTGTGTGGTGTGAGTGGTGCGGTGAGGTAAAGGTGAGTGGTGTGTGCGGGTGGGAGGGTGTGGTGGAGTGGTGGGCAGGTGAGGGTGGGTGGAGTGGTGGGCCAGAGTGGTGTGTGCTGGGTGAGTGGTGCGAGGAGCAGGTAAGGGAGGAAGTGGTGAGTGGTGTGGAAAGCGGTGAGGAGGAAGCGGGTGAGTGTGTGTGTGTGCAGGTGAGTGGTGTGGGAGAGTGGTGGTGCGGGTGAGTGGTGTGTGCGGGTGAGTGGTGTGGGTGAGTGGTGTGGGTGAGTGGTGGTGCGGGTGAGTGGTGTGTGGGCGGGTGAGGCGGTGGGAGGGTGTGCGGGTGAGGGTGTGGGAAAGGGTGAGTGGTGTGTGCTGGGAGTGGTGCGGGTGAGGGTGGGCGGGGTGGGAGTGGTGTGTGGTGGGAGTGGTGTGGGTGAGTGGTGTGGGTGGAGTGGTGGTGTGCAGGTGAGTGAAGGTGGAGTGGTGTGTGCAGGTGAGTGGTGCGGGTGGAGTGGTGGGCAGGTGAGTGGTGCGGGTGAGTGGTGTGGGTGGAGTGGTGTGTGCAGGTGAGGGAAGGTGTGGAGTGGTGTGTGCAGGTGAGAGTGGTGTGGGTGGAGTGGTGTGTGCAGGTGAGTGGTGTGGGTGAGTGGTGTGCGGTGAGTGGTGTAAGAGTGGTGTGTGCGGGTGAGTGGTGCGGTGAGTGGTGTGTGCAGGTGAGTGGTGTGGGTGAGTGGTGTGTGCGGTGAGTGGTGCGGGGGTGAGTGGTGGGGAGGTGAGTGGTGGTGAGTGGTGTGTGTAGGTGAGTGGTGTGTGCGGTGAGTGGTACAGGAGTGGTGTGTGCGGTGAGGGAAGCGGTGAGTGGTGTGCAGGTGAGTGGTGCAGAGTGGTGGGTGGAGTGGTGTGTGCAGGTGAGTGGTGCGGGTGAGGTGTGCAGGTGAGTGGTGTGGGTGAGTGGTGCGGGTGAGTGGTGTGTGCAGAGTGGGTGTGGGTGAGTGGTGCAGAGTGGTGGGTGAGGGTGTGTGCAGGTGGAGGTGTGGGTGGAGTGGGTGTGGGTGAGGTGTGTGCAGGTGAGTGGTGTGGGTGAGTGGTGTGGGTGAGTGGTGTGTGCAGGTGAGTGGTGTGGGTGGAGTGGTGTGGGTGAGTGGTGTGCAGGTGAGGTGGGTGAGTGGTGGGTGAGTGGTGTGGGTGGGAGGGTGTGGGTGAGTGGTGTGTGCAGGTGAGTGTGGTCCTGTTCTCACCTAGCACATCCCTGTTTTCTGTGTCGCAGTGGGAAGCTAACGGTGTTCACTGTGCTATGTGAGCAGTACCAGCCATCCCTCCGGCGTGACCCGATGTACAACGAGGTGAGCGCTCAGGGCTGGGGAGGGAGGAGGGGACCCCAGGGCCTGGGTCTGCCGGCTCCTGAGCCAGCTGCCTCTGCCTTGCAGTACCTGGACCGCATAGGACAGCTGTTTTTCGGCGTCCCGCCCAAGCAGACGTCTTCCTACGGAGGCCTGCTCGGTAAGCTGGGGCGCCCTTGCCACGCCCACTGCAGCCCTGGGTCGGTGTGGGGTCATCATCTGCCCAGGCAGGGCCAGTGCGGTCCTTCATGTAGAAGTGATTTTCTGCTCTTTCAAATGTTTCTCAACTTTTTTTTGTTAATAGGAAATTATATTTTAGAGTAGAGAATTGTAGCACGGTGCCTCCCAGCCCCGTCTCCACTCCAGAGCTCCCCATCCCCGAGGTTTCTCCCACTTCCTGGCAGGGGTCACGTCGCGTGGCCGGCTGTGTGCTCACCTGTTTGTCTGTGCGCCATGCCAGGTGGCCTGTGTGAGCCTGGTGTGCCCGGACACTGCCGGCCATTCTGCTGGGGCAGGCAGTGCTGCTGTGGCTGTGGGGTCATGGCGGGGCAGGTGTCTGTGCGTGGTGTCTCACGCCACCGCGGGAGAGGCCCCTCACTGAGGCGCCTGCCTTCCCAGTGTCATCTCTTTGGGTTTAGTGGGAGGTGTGAGGCGGTGACCTCTCCCCACAGCTGTCTGCCCTGGTGCAGCTGCATCGCGTGGCAGGCCCCGTCCTCCCGGGGTGCCCACCCACACACACTGGCCCTCACTGTGCCCCACGGCACAGGCTCCTCCCCCATGGCACAGGCTCCTCCCCCCAACACCCGTCAGGAGCGCCCTGACACTTCTGCATGGCTGTCCTGTTGAAACCGCAGCCTGGGCTCCTGTTCCACAGAAGCGCCGTCGGGCATGTCCTGCGATTGGGGTGACATCGTGGATAAGAGAGGGTGACACCACCATGGCCATGTCTTTGTATTCGGAGAACACGGTGTAACGTCTCATTTGTTCGTTTCAGGAGACGTTTTGGACTTTGGTTTTGTATGTAGAGTAGTAGTTGATTGGGTAAAAATCGGATGACAGTGACTGCAGTTGGCCCCTGTGGGAGCAGCTGTTGAAGCTTTGGTGCATCCAGTTGATTCGGGTGTCACCACAGGGTGCGGCACACGTGTGCTCCACGGTAGCGCTTCCCTTTGTTGAAAAGTGTCTTTCTGGCCAGGCGCGGTGGCTCTCGCCTGTGATCCCAGCACTTTGGGAGGCCGAGGTGGGCGGATCATCTGAGGTCGGGAGTTCGAGACCAGCCTGACCAACATGGAGAAACCCCATCTCTACTGGAAATACAAAATTAGTCGATCGTGGTGGCGCATGCCTGTAATTCCAGCTACTAGGGAGACTGAGGCAGGAGAGTCGCTTGAACCTGGGAGGTGGAGGTTGCAGTGAGCCGAAATCACGCCACTGCACTCCAGCCTGGGCAACAAGAGCAAACTCTGTCTCAAAAAAGAAGGAGTTATTTCCGTGAGGTGGTGTTGGCTCTGTGGGGCCCTCCGTGGAGGGTGGTTCTGCAGGCCTCCATGCCTGCCCCCTGGTGCCGCTGGTGGACGTGGAGGGCGGCTCTGTAGAGCGCCCGTGGCTGCTCCGTGGTTTCAGTCTCTCTATGGCCATCGGCTCCCTGACCTCCAGAGGGTCCTGTCCTGGGGTTCCTGGGTCGCAGACAGTAGCGTTGTGAGGCTTTTGCTGGTTGCGTGGGACACGGGGACACCGGGACACCTCATGAGACGTCTGTGGGAAGGAGGGGCTTGGGGGTTCTGTGGGAGGCTGCCCGGGCCTGACTGCCACAGTGTCCTCCTTTCCAGGGAACCTTCTGAGCAGCCTCATGGGCTCCTCAGAGCAGGAGGAGGGAGAGGAGAGCCCCAGCGACGGCAGCCCAATCGAGCTGGACTGAAGCGGCCGGGCCACGTGGAGACACCACGGTCGACGACGGCTCGAGGGACGTTTCAGAGGCGAGTCCTGGGTGGCTCCTCGCCTGGGGGCTCCCGGCCCTGAGGCTGGCGGTGGCCGCGTGCCGGCGCGTGTCTGTTTCTGTGCAGCGGCTCAGGGTGGCGCGGCTGCGGGTTGCTGTGCTGCTGGGGCCCGGGAGCGGGGCCTCGCCCCTGCTGGCTGCCGCGTCCCCCGAGATTGACCACAATAAAGCACAGGCCTTGCCGCGGCGTCACCCGCTCCCACTCCTTTGTTCTGGGTCCTTTCGGGAGGGCTGATGGGCAGCACAGGAGGCCCGTCCTCAGCGGGGACTGGGCACATCATGCTCCTTGCCTGGCGTCCGGCATAGCTGCGGTCACCAAAGCAGGCGCTGGCCCTCGGACATGAGCGCCCAGCCGGGCCCATGTGGTCTGCAGATGCGAGCGGCTGTTTTTGAGCACGGGGCCACTCTGCGGTCGTGGTGAACTGGTCCCCGTCGCAGATGGAGCGCACGTGCCCGCGCCATGTTCTCAGGCTCAGTGGAGGGACGCATGCGGCAGGACGGTGCCCATGGGTACTTGCAGCTGTGTCCCATGTGGCATCCCGGAGCTGCGCCCTGCCGGTCTCCGTCAGCGCCACGCTGCTGTGCTGGAAATGCCGCTTTAAAAAGGGATACCATGGGACTCTGCCCATCTCTTTCATAATGCAATATTTATTTGTATTGGGTGATTGATTTTTTTGACCTGACATTTTAGGTTTTAACCAAATAACCGGTCCAGGAGTGAGCAGCCCCGTTTTCTGTCACAGATGCTATTCCAGATGTTACCAGAACAATGACAAAAGGGGAGACGCTCTGTTTTTTCACAGTTAAATGACAGTTGTAGATGGATACACAGTTGTGCATGGGAAGGGGAAACGCACAGCTTTATTTCCTGTAAAGTGGAATTTAAGGAAGGCTTGTGTGAACCGTTGCGCATAAATAAACCCTTTCTACTGGGCTGTGCGACGCTGGTCCTTTCTCGGGCGCCCACCGTGGGTGTGGGGGCCTCTGCTCTCAGGGCTGTGCCTGGGAGCCCCCAGAGGAGCGTGCCCTGTGGCCAGACTGCCCGTGCGTGGATGGAGCAGAGGGCTGTCGGGAAGTCTCACGTTCACTCGGCTGTGATTTTAGAGGTAAAGTTGTGTAATTTCATTGAAATTCATAAAAACCAAATCCACCAGGTCTGGGTGTCGCAGCCTCGGAGCAAAGCCCTTGGGCTGCCAGGGAGGCGCCATGCAGAGAGCCCACACCCTGCCCTAGGTGCTGACCGGGCACCCGTCCCTGCCGTGTGGCACTTGCTGTGAATAGCGAGTGTGATCCGGAGTGACAGGATTGTGTGTGCAGCGTCACTCCGGCTTCCCGTGAGACGGCAGGAACAGCCGGCCAGAGCCCTGCAGACGACCCCCCGTGGCCCGTGCTGAGCCTGCACCGCGGCGTCCGCCTCTCCCTGCCTCAGGACTTCGCGGCGGAGTCACGGTCCATCCGTATGCCTGCTGGGAACGCTGCGCACGAGGGGAGCCCCTTCCCCACAGCTGTGTCCACACAGGGAGGGCTGGACAGCGAGCGACCCCTGCTGCGACCACCTTCTGTGCCTGTGCCTCTTGCCTGGTTTGAAAAATGCTTTCCCCCATTAAAAAGTTGTTGTGTGGTCTTTAAAACGTGACGGTCATCAGCGTCCTCAGCGTACACGTGGACACGTGGGGACACGCACTCACACAGCACGTGCCCACGCTTCCACTCTGTGGGGAGGCTGTGGGCACTGCTGGTTGCCCCCGGGGGTGTGTCCACACAGCCCAGGGCTCTCCCTGACCCAGGCCCAGTCCTCTCACCGCTGGGGTTTGGACCATGGCGCCTGGTGAGGCTGCGGGGCACTTGCCTGGGGTCTCAGCTCCAGGTGGGGGGTATCTCACCCACATCCTCACCAGCACAGCCCCCTTGGGGACCCCTCCACCCTGCCCTGGGGCCCCAGCTCCTCATTGGAGAAGTGGGATTCAGCATGTTCTGTGTGAGGGCTGAGGGGCCCAGCATGGGGGCACGGGCAGGGGCAGGTGCAGGCGCAGGGGACCCCCCCCCACAGGATGCATCCCCCACACTCTCCTTCATGCTGAGCTGGGCTTGTCTTTCAGGCTGTGGGCTCTGCCCAGGAACTGCCTGGCAGGCCTCAGATGGAGGCAGCTGGGGAAGAGGTGCTGGGGAGCACCTCGGGTGGGGGCCAGCTTCTGTGCACAAGGAGCATGGCACTGTGACCAGTTCAGACACCGCGTCCTCCCTCCAAACTTCAGGGAGCAAAGGCCCTGTCAGGTCCCTGGGAGCAAAGATTCTCCTGAAGCCAGGGGAGCAGGGCCATGTGTTCCCAGCCCAACCCCCTCCCCACTCCATCCTCGGACACACAGCTGGAACCATGCCAGAGCCGCACTTTATTCCAGGATGTGACACAGGGCAGTGGATGCCCGGCCTCGGGAACCCCCTCCCCCCCATGAGGGCTTGTCCAGGGCTCCCCTGGAACACAGCTCAGCCAGGCAAGGCTGGGAGAGGGCTGGGCCCCCCAGGTGACCTGCAGACGCCTCCCCCACCTGCATGCCCCATACAAGGGGAGCCCTGGAGCCCGGCCTGCCTTGACAGGAAGGAGATAGGTGAGAAATAAATACACGGCTGGGCCACAAGCAGCAAGTGCGACAGTGCCCGGGCCCCCCCCAGGGCCACGTCTGCCTCTGGTGGCCTCACCGCGGCCCAGGCCATCATCCCCAAGGGTTCAACCACCACTGTCAGCGAGCACCGTGCTGGGCACACAGAGGCCACGTGTGGTGGGACAGCAGCCTGGTGACCCCTCTAGCCAGGGAACCAGGAGCACGGGCTGGGGCGACTCCCGCCCAGGGAGGACCTGTGCAGATAATCCACCCGAACACCCCCACGGCCCCGTGACACACAACAGGCGCTCAATAAATACTCGAGGTGGGGAGAGGGTGGGGCGGCATGCGAGCAGGGCCCAGTCCCCAGCAGCCGGCAGCTGCCGACCATGCCGGCCCCAAACAGGGCTCTGCGCTGAGGCCTGGAAGTTCCCTCAGCCATGGTGGGCGGCTCCTGGGGGCCGTGTCTGAGCTCGGGAGCCAGACTGGGCCCCGGAGGAAGGGGGGGCCCTGGGTCAGGGAGGGGCAGGTTGACTGGGTGTGGTCAGCAGCAGCGTGACGGGGTCAGAGGTCAGGGCCGGGGCTGCCTGCCTTGAGGTTCCAGAGAAGCATCCCGGAAGCTGAGGCTCAGGCCCTACCTGGCAGCGCCCGGGCTGCCCTGAGCAGCAGGTGGGGCCAGGTGGCATCAGGACGCTGCAGCCCCCGATCCACAGGTCCCCTCCGTCAGCCACAGTGAGTCCAGTGTCCGTGGGCCTCTGACCGCACTCGCTAGGGTTTATGCTTGAAGTGTGCCTCCACTGCAATGGAACAGGGTCCGGTGCTGTCACGGCCGCAGGGAACTGGGAGCCCGTCCAGGCTGCTGGCCACCCGCCCCCCTCACCTGCGTACTCCTGGGGCAGCATGGGCCTGTCCACCGCCTTCTGGAAGGCCGCCACCCACTCCCTCTGGTCGGACTCCGTCTCGCAGGCAAACAGAAACTTGCGGTCGGGCGTGACGATGGTGATGCCGTGCGGCCAGTGGTGGCCCTGGGTGGACGGCGGGAACCCGTGCAGCACCGTGTAACCACTCTCCTTGCTGCCGATGAAAACTTCCCCTCGGGCGAAGGCGTCCTGTGGGTGGAGACCACACTGGAGGCGGGGCCATCTCCCTTCCGGCTTCACTCAGAGCCAGGGGAGGCCACCCACCCTCCTGGTCACACATCCAGTAGCCCCAGCCAGTGAGCTGCCCCCCTGTGCTGGCCAGGCCGGGCCGGGCCGGGCCACAGCTCCCCCTTACCAGGGGATCTTTAAAGTACATGAGCCTGCGGTCGTCCATGGTGAACCAGCGCTTCCGGAAGCCTTCTGTTTGCTGTGGGTCAGAGAGGGCCTGTGACTGGCAGGTCAGCCGAGGCAGGCCTGCATCCAGCTGGCAGCAGCGCACCCCGGAGGGCAGGGTCCAGGCCAGCCCGGGTCAGTCACCCCACTCATTCACATCTGCCACTGGCCACGCCACACGACCCTCCAGCCTCCACACGGCACCTCCCTCTTGCTCCTCCAGGTGCCCCAGCCCTCCCTGGGCCCTAGATGGGGGTTCAGGCCTCACTTACGAGCCCTCACACCTGCACTTCTCCTCCGGGACCACCAAGACTCCTGGGATTTCCCTCTCCCTCCCACATCATGCCTCAGGGAGTGGCAAGACGTGGGCCCCTGGCCGCGCGGGTGCACAGTCCCGTGGGTGAGGAAGCTGGTCGGACTGAGCGGGCAGGGAGGGTCCAACCAAAGCCTAGGACAGTGGCCCGGGTCTGCGGGGACCCCGACCAGGCAGAGATAGGGGCCGTGAGGACCCACCAGACACTGACCAGTTTAAAACACTGAGGCGGCAGCTGGGAAGGTCACTGCACTTCAGCCCGAGACCCACCATGACACACCCCAGGCTGCACGGGCGGCACACGCACCTTGGGCCCCGTCTTCTCCATGTAACCTTCCTTCAGGTAGTTCCTGGAGAGCTTCGGCACCAGCTGGGGCAGGACACACCGGGCGGGGGGCCTCAGAAGCACAGCTCAGGCCGAGACCCTCGCTGGCTGTGCCCCTCCGTGCTCCCCTCACCCTGGGCCACCAGGGCAGGGTCCAGGCCTGGCACAGCCTCTGCAGGGTCCGCGTCTCTGCCTCTGCTTGCCACCCCTTTCCCTCCCCCTTTCCCCTTTGGCTGAGCTGAAGTTCTAGAGTGAGGCAGAACTGCAGGTACTTCAGGGTGAGCCCTTGGCCAGTCCCAGGCCCACCCTAGGGTTCAATGTCATCCCAGAGTCAGGGCACGAGGGCACCAGGGCACAAGGGCACGAGGGCTCCCTCCACCCCCCACCCCACCACCGCTGTCCGCCCTGGAGCTGACTGCAGGGCCACCACTCAACTCACATCTGCGTCGCTGGCCCCCGGGAACGCCACCTGCAGGTAGTGGAAGCGGGCAGCTCGGAGCGCATTGAACCAGTCCACAATCTCCTAGGGGCAAAGGCAGGCACAGGCTTGGGCTCAGGAGGCTGCAGGGCTGGGGTCCCCACAGAGGGGCCGTTTCCCCCAGAGCCCAGCCCCTTCCTCCTCCCCGGCACCTCAGCTCCCAGCAGTCCTGTGCAGGCCTGGCCTCTATGCCCACACTGAGGCCAGCGCTGCTACCCAGGGGCAGCCCCTCTGCAGGAGGGTGAGTACGGACTCCCCCAGTTAAGTCCTGAGAAGGACCGAAGAGCCTAAAGGCTGGGCTGGGCTGGACTGGACTAGGCTGGGCTAAGGGCTGGACTAGGCTGGACTAGGCTGGGCTAAGGGCTCTGCTAAGGGCTAAGGGCTAAGGGCTGGGCTAAGGGCTAAGGGCTGGGCTGAGCTGGGCTGAGCTGGGCTGAGCTGGGCTGGGCTAAGGGCTGGGCTAAGGGCTGGGCTAAGGGCTGGGCTGGGCTGGGCTGGGCTAAGTGCTGGGCTAAGGGCTGGGCTGGGCTAAGTGCTGGGCTGAGGGCTGGGCTGGGCTGAGGGCTGGGCTGAGGGCTGAGGGCTGGGGGCTGGGCTGGGCTGGCTGGGCTGGGCTGGGCTGGGCTGGGCTGGGCTGGGCTGGGCTGGGCTGGGCTGAGGGCTGGGCTGAGGGCTGGGCTGAGGGCTGGGCTGGGCTGGGCTGGGCTGGGCTGGGCTGGGCTGGGCTGAGGGCTGGACGCAACGGGGCTGGACGGGGTCAGGGGCTGCCATCCAAGCTCACCCTGTGGCCCTGGCACTGCTGGGGCCTGGGCCAGCCTGCCTTCCTTTCAGATGGTGCTGTTTTTATGAAGATCCTTATTTTGTAGCTCATGGAATTCTTGGGGTGACGGGGGAAGGGAGGCTCATCTGTTTATAAACACTCTTGGAGCTGTGCCCCCTACCAAGAGCAGGCAGAGGGCAGAACTGCCGTCCAGGGAGCTGCCCTGGTCCTCTGGAGAGTGTGGAGTGGGCCAGCAGCCTAGAACAGAGGGCCCATGGCCCAGGCCTGGCACCCAGCCCCACGTCGGGTGCCCTTGGGGTCCAGACTTCAACCTGGCTGTCCCCTGCCCCCAGACCCAGCGGCCCTCCTGGGGTCTGCCCAGACCCTTGGCGCCATGACCTTGTACCCTGAGCCCCAGGGCCCCTGTCCAGGCTATAGCCTGGAGCTGGTGACCTCTGGAAAGGTGCCCATCTCCACTCTTGGCTCCACCCTCTCCTGGCCAGGAAGAACTAGGGAGCCCCATCCCTCTTCCCTTCTCTCATGCCCCCTTAGGCTTCTCCCCCAGCCCCTTTGGCCTTGAGTTTCGTCCCGCAGGCAAAGCCCCCAGCACCAGACCAGTCCAGCCACAGCTTCTCCAGCTGACACCTGGTCCAGCACCAGCTGGAGGATGGTACAGCCCCAGGCTCCTCCCACAGCAGTGGGATTGCCCCGCCCTCTTCCAGTGGCCCCACCCAGCAAAGCCCCGCCCACCCCAAGACTGCCCCGCCCTCTTCCAGTGGCCCCACCCAGCAAAGCCCCGCCCACCCCAAGACGGCCCCTCCTAGGCCTCCAGCCCTGCTTTCTCCTGTGGCCCTTCCTCCTAGGCCACGCCCACCAGCCACACCCACACCACCCAACCAGCCTCCCCTCCTTCCCCCTCCCACCCCGTTCCTCCGGCCCGCCCCATCCCATTTGGCCCCGCCCTCCCTCGGGCTAGAGGAAGCTGAACCTGTCCACACCACGCTGGCCCAAAGGCCTTGGGAATTCACCGCTGCAGGTCCCCGGGAAATGGAGGGCGCTCTAAGCAGGAGAACTGGTTGGAAGCTCGCCCCCTTTTCCCCCAGCGGGACATGGAGCCAACTCTCCGGGGCTCCGGGCAGACGGGACATGCCTGGTGCACTCCAGGGAGCTCTGTGACCCTGCAGGCTGCAGCCCGAACTCCCTCAGCTCCCACCGCTGGGGGCCAAGCGCGTCTGCCTGCGGGGGGGATTTATCTTCGGAGGATCTGACCTGCCCAGATTCCAGGATATCTGGGAAAGATTTCTCACAGGGAACACAGCAGATCAGACCGGCAGCAACTTAGAAGACAAAAACCTTTTTCAGGAATAAGCAAGCTTCAAAAATTAACATTAGTAACATACCACAATCAAACCAAAAACAGCGTTTCAAAAAGGAATATTCAGCTAGGCATGGTGGCTCACCCCTGTAATCCCAGCGCTTTGGGAGGCTGAGGCGGGGGGATCACTTGAGGTCAGGAGTTGGACACCAGCCTGACCAACATGGTGAAACCCCCTCTCTACTAAAAATACAAAGATTGCGACTGGACGCGGTGGCTCACACCTGTAATCCCGGCACTTTGGGAGGCCGAGGCAGGCGGATCACCTGAGGTCGGGAGTTTGAGACCAGCCTGACCAACATGGAGAAACCCCATCTCTACTAAAAATACAAAATTTGGGGGCATGGTAGCACATGTCTGTAATCCCAGCTACTCGGGAGGCTGAGGCAGGAGAATCACTTGAACCTGGGAGGCAAAGGCTGCAGTGAGCCGAGACTGCACCATTGCACTCCAGCCTGGGTGACAAGAGTGAAACTCCGCCTCAAAAAAAAAAAAAAAAAAAAATTGCCTGGGCGTGGTGGCACGTGCCTGTAGTCCCAGCTACTCAGGAGGCTGAGGCAGGAAAGTCACTTGAACCCGAGAGGCAGAGGTTGCAGTGAGCTGAGATCGCACCATTGCACTCCAGCCTGGGCAGCACAGCGAGACTCAATCTCAAAAAAAAACAAAAAAAAAAGAAACAGAAATACTCCAAGAACCAAAGGCTCTCTGTAAAATTAAATACATGAGAGCAGAAACAAACCCTCAATACAGTGTTGGAGACAAAGTTGAAGAAATCTCCCAGACAGCAGAAGCAAAATGAGCCAGCTTAAGAGTGCCAACATCTCCATAACAGGAGTTTCAGAAAATGAGAACAGGGAAAGTAGAGGGAGGAAATTATTAGATAAGAAAGCAATCCCTGACCTCATGGAAACCAGTAACTGGACTCGAAGGGCCACCCTGGGCCTGTACCCAGCACAGCAAAAGACGAGGGACTCTTGCCAACACATGCACGGCATCGGAGAATTTCAAAACCCCGGGACAAATGTACTGGGAGGGAGGAATCAGTGGTGCAGAGCCTTCAGAACTAGCAGGAAAATTAACTCCAACCTAGACTTCTATATCTAGCCACAGTCCAGGTGACAGGCCACTTTCCTTCCAAGCACATCACTTCTACCAAAAGGAACAAGTAAACTAAAAAGATGTGGGACCGGGTGAGATGAGCCTGCAGGAGCGAGATCTCCAGGCCATGGGAGTGACGGGCTCCCGGTGCCCGACTGCCTCCAGAAAAAAGTCTGCAGAGAGCCTACTGGCAGCACACCGTCAACTGCGGCAGAGAACACAGCCACTTGCTGTGGGAAAAGTGATCGCAGCGTGCTCCGAGGCATCCAACGTCAGCCCCGTAACAACCCCAGGTGCAGACGCCAGGGGAGCACGGTGGGCAGGGGACGGGGACTGGCACGTGGGAGGGCATGGAAAGAGCTGGAACCTCTACTTCCTCGTGGGAAGTTGTCAGATGGTGCCTAAAATGGGTAAATTTGCAGCAACACCGGCAGATTATTTTTGGATACGGGGACAAATTCCCAATGGGGGTTAGGAGGGGCCTCAAACTTCTGTTTCTCAAGACTTGGGAACAATTTAGCGCTTTAGACCACGTGCACATAGACGGGTGATAAAAATAGAAACGAGAACCAATGCAACAGAGAGGCTGGACCCACCGCTGGGCCCCCTGCAGCCTGGCCCAAAGACAAAAGGATAGCTTTTGTGGGAGTTTTATCTGGGTTCCCCCGTCAAGCCCTCCAGAGATGAGGGGTGTACCTGCCCTCTCCACCGCCACGCCAAGGGCAGCCAAAGGAACACTGCCCAAACCAGCCCCAGAGCTGGCTGCTGTCCCCTTCTCCTCCTCATAGGACCTCAGTTCCCCCAAAGGCCCCCTGTGGGCATTGTGGGGGTGGTGGATCCTCTAGCCTGAGCTGGCAGCCCCCACTGACAGGGGCAGGCTGGGTGGCCCCAGAGACAGCACGGTGATCCAGTTCCTGGGCAGCCCGGCCCCGGGAGGGAGCCTGCTTCCTGCACCTGTCTTCCCCTGCTGCCCACCCGGTGCCCACCCTCCTGTGCCCACCCTCCCAACACATCCAAGCACCTGCCTTCTCATGCCGCCCAGCCCGAGTGCCCGCCCTCCCATGCCACTCAGCCCGAGTGCCTGCCCTTCCGCGCCACCAGGCTGACTGCCCGCCTTCCCACACTGTCCAAGCACCCACTGAGTGCCTGTCTTCCCACGCTGCCCAGCCCAAATGCCCGCCCTCCCGTGCCGCCCTGGCCCGAGTGCGCGCTAGCGCCCACCTTCCCATCCTCATGGTAGATGAAGATGTTGCGCGTGCTGTTGTCCTTCAGGTAGGTGACCTGCAGGCCATGGGGGTGGCCGATCTTGGCTGGCTGGAAGGTGGCGTTTAGGTGCTCAATCTTCATCACAGCCTTGGGTTCCTTGGCCTGGGAAGGGGTGGGGTCTGAGCACCTCACAGGCGCCGCCATCCAAGCTCGGGGGAGCAGGAAGGGCAGACCCTGTGGGTGCTGGCGGCACACCTGCTGTGCTGTGTGGCTTTGGGCAAGTTACTTAACCTCTCTGAGCCTCGGCCTCCCAGTCTGTAAGCAGAAGGTAACGGCACTTCCCTCCCAGGGATGATGGGGACTCAATGACACTGTGTGGGTGGCTTTTGACATCAGACACTGCACCTCCCTCCCCAGGGGCAGCCCCGGGCCCCACACGGCACGGCAGCTCCCACAGGGGCAGGACCCAGCTACCAGCCCACCTCCAGGCAGCGCCCAACAGCAGCGTGCCACAGCTCAGGGCGGGTGCTTCCGACCACCAGCCCACGGCCCTGGGGCCACCTCGCAGAGACCCCGCCGTTCTTGCCAGTGTGTTTGTCCTGTCCCGAGCCAGTCTCCCCAGGGTACCTCCAGGAAAGGTGGGGGCTTTCTGGGGTCCTGGCTGGCTCCAGTGGGGCCCAGTGACTAGGTTCTCCCCCTCCCACGGCTGGGCCTGAGTTCAGGGGGCCCTGCCCGGACACCCAGGCTCCTGGAAAGCCTCAGCTGCCCCACCCTGGGAGACACGAGGGACGGGAGACACAGAGGACCGGGAGACACAGAGGACCGGGACACAGAGGACACAGAGGACCTATCAGAGGCTGGAGACACAGAGGGTCAGAGACACGAGGACCAGGAGACACAGAGGACGAGCACACAGAGGCTGTGGAGACACAGACGACCTGGAGACACAGAGGGCCGGAGATTACCGAGGACCAGGAGACACACAGAGGACCGGACACAGAGGGCCGAGACACAGAGAGGGCCGGGAGACACAGAGGACCGGAGACACAGAGGACCGGGACACAGAGGACCGGGACAACAGACGACTGGGAGACACAGAGGACTGACACAGAGACCGGGACACAGAGAATGGAGACACAGAGGACCGGGAGACACAGAGGACCGGGAGATACAGAGGACCGGGAGACACAGACGACTGGGAGACACAGAGACTGGGACAGGTGAGGACTGGGAGACACAGAGGACTGAGACACAGAAAGAGGGTCGTGGAGACACGAGGACCAAACTGGAGACAATGCAGGACCGGGAGACACAGAGGACCGCACACGGAGGCTTCACAGCCCATCACAGGCTGGTTCTCCTGAAGTGTCCCCATCGGGGGCAGGGAAAGGCAGCCAGGATGACGGGGCCACCACAGGCCCCAGCGTGGGAGGCCAGGATGCTGCCTTAGTGACAGCCCCCAATCTCCACCCCCAAGGTGTCTGGCTCACGCCACTTGCTGAAACACCAGGGCACCTCCCTCGGCTCCGCCAGCACAAACTTCCGGCTTAAAAAATCGTGCCCATTGTCCTGCCACGTTTCCAGAGAAAGCTCCGCGGCACCTGCTGGGAGGACAGAGTCAGCACAGTGACCGTGGAGGGGGAGAGGACAGAGCCGTGACAGTGACCTGGATGGGAGAGGGAGGAGTCAGATCGTGACCGTGGATGGAGAGAGGGGCAGAGTCAGACGGTGACCGGGATGGGGAGAGGGGGCAGGAGCCGACAGTGACCGTGGATGGGGGAGAGGGAACAGGAGAGTCAGACGGTGACCGTGGATGGAGAGGGAAGAGTCAGACGAAATCGTGGATGGGAGAGAGGGGGCAGGAGTCAGACGGTGGACCGTGGATGGGGAGAGGGGGCAGGAGCCAGACGGACCGTGGATGAGAGGCAGGAGTCAGACGGTGACCTGTGGATGGGGAGAGGACAGGAGAGCCAGAGCAGACCGTGGGAGATGGGGAGGGGATGAGCCAGACGTGACCGTGGATGAGGACAGAGTCAGACGGTGACCGTGGATGGGAGGACAGGAGTCAGACGGTGACCGTGGATGGGAGAGGACAGGAGTCAGACGGTGAATCGTGGATGGGAGAGTGGACAGGAGTCAGACGGTGACCGTGGATGGGGGAGAGAGGACAATGACAGTGACCGTGGATGGGGGGAGGGACAGGAGTCAGACGCGTGACCGTAAGGAGAGGGGGCAGGAGGACGGCACCGTGGATGTGGGACAGGTCGACGTGACCGTGGATGGGGTGTGAGGCATGTGTCAGACTCCAGACCAGTGTGGATGAAATGGGGAGAGGGACAGGAGCCGTAGACAGCAGGACCTGGATGGAGAGAGATAGAGCCTGACAGTGACTGTGGATGGGGGGAGAGGGGACAGGAGTCAGACGGTGACCGTGGATGGGAGAGAGGGGACAGGAGTCAGACGGTGACCGTGGATGGGAGAGGGATGCAGGGAGAGCCAGACGGTGACCGGATGGGAGAGGGGACAGGAGTCAGACGGTGACCGTGGATGGGAGAGGGGACAGGAGTCAGACGGCAGACCGGGATGGGGGAGAAGACACAGGAGCCTAGACTGTGACCGTGGATGGGGAGGGACAGGAGTCAGACGGTGACCAGGATGGAGGGACAGAGCCAGACGGTGACCGTGGATGGGGAGGGACAGGAGTCAGACGGGACCGATGGGGGAGGGACAGAGCCGGACGTGTGACCGTGGATGGGGAGAGGGACAGAGTCAGACGGTGACCATGGATGGGGGAGAGAGGACAGAGCCTGACGGACCGCGGATGGGATATGCATGTGAGTCAGACAGTGACGGATGAGAGAGAGGATAGAGTTTCTGACAGCACTGTGGATGGGGAGAGGATGAGTCAGACGGTGACCTATGGATGGATGCAGAGCCGGACAACAGTGACCATGGATGGAGAGGATAGAGCTGACAGTGACCGTGATGGGGGAGAGGGACAGGAGCCTGACGGTGACCGTGGGATGAGGGAGAGGGGACAGAGTCAGATGGTGACTCGTGGACGGGACACAGAGGACCGGGAGACACAGAGGACCGGGAGACACAGAGGGCCGGGAGACACGAGGACCGGGAGACACGAGGACCGGGAGACACAGAGGACCGGCACACGGAGGCTTCACAGCCCATCACAGGCTGGTTCTCCTGAAGTGTCCCCATCGGGGGGGCAGCAGGGAGGGCAGCTGAGGATGGACGTGGCCACCACAGGCCCCAGCGTGGGAGGCCAGGATGCTGCCCCAGGACAGGCCCCCACCCCACCCCTGTGTCTGGCTCACGTCATTTCTGTTGAAATACTTCAGGGCACCCTCTCGTTCCGTCAGCACAAACTTCCGGCTTAAAAACTGCCCATTGTCCCGGCCACGTTTCCAGAGAAAGCCCTCGCGGTACCCTGTGGGGAGAGGACAGGAGTCACACAGTGACCGTGGATGGGGGAGAGGACAGGAGTCAGACAGTGACCGTGGATGGGAGAGGGGACAGGAGTCAGACGGTGACCGTGGATGGGGGAGGGGACAGGAGTCAGACAGTGACCATGGATGGAGAGAGGATAGGAGTCAGACAGTGACCGTGGATGGGGGAGAGGGGACAGGAGTCAGACAGTGACTGTGGATGGGTGAGAGGGGACATGAGGGGTGACAGTGGATGGGGGTGACAGTGGAGATGGGACATGGAGGAGGGGACACGGGGAGAGGGGACACAGAGGAGACAGGGAGACGGACAGGGGAGAGGGGACATGGGAGAGGACACGGGGTGGGAGAGGACACGGGGGTGAGGGGACACGGGGGGAGAGGCGACATGGAGGAGACAGGGAGACGCACAGGGGAGAGGGGACACGGGGGAGACAGGAAGACGGACAGGGGAGAGGGGACATGGAGGAGGGGACACGGGGGGAGAGGGGACACAGGGGGAAATAGACAGGGGAAGACACTAGGGGAGAGGGGACACGGAGGACGTGGTTCAGTGATGGTGGATGGTTGGTGAGGGGATATGACAGTGGACCAGGGCTGTTGGCTGCAACCCTGGCCCGAGCCAGCCTGAGGAGGGCCTGGATGAACAGGACATCCAACCAGCTATCCTTTACCAGCCCCCAGGGACCCCCTCCACCCTGGGTGGGCATGGCCAGAGCCACCATGGGCAGAGGCAGAGCTGGGTCCAACCACGTGCTGCCCAGGAGGACCAGGTTGGCCTCCTCCCTCCTCCCTCAGCCATCCGCGACCCTGGGTCCAGGTGGTGCCGTCCCCTCTTTTTTCAGGAAAGCTCATCTGAGGGGAGCCCAGCCCAAGCCCTCATCTCCACCTGTGGCCTCACGCACACCACACAGCCACAGAAAAGTGGACCAGGCATCCCCCTGGGAGCCTAAGCACTTGAACACGCCACCTTCCATGTGTGGTTGGGACCTCACTGTGGCAGACGATCACAGGGGAGGGAGGCAGAGACATGAGGACAGGAGGGAAGGGGACGTGACCATGGAAACTGAGGCCGGAGGGGGCCCCAGAGCCCAGGAGCACCGGGGAGAGGCCAGAGGACCCACCCCGAGCCCAGAACCAGCTCTGCCCACCCCGAGCCTCGAGCCCGTGGGATCATCCTGGATCTCTGACTGCCAGAGCTGTGGGAGAATCATCGCACGTGGCTTCACCTCACTGGGCTGCGGTCAGTGACCGACGCGCGGCCGCTCAGAGAGGCGTTCCCATCACCCCGGTCCCGCTCCCGCTTCCACTCCCTGTCCGTGGTTCCCATCATTGCCCGTTCTTTTTTTTTTTTTTTTTTGAGACGGAGTCTCGCTCTGTCGCCCAGGCTGGAGTGCAATGGTGCAATCTCGGCTCACTGCAAGCTCCGCCTCCCGGGTTCACGCCATTCTCCTGCCTCAGCCTCCCGAGTAGCTGGGACTACAGGCGCCCGCCACTGCGCCCGGCTAATTTTTTCTATTTTTAGTAGAGACGGGGTTTCACCATGGTCTCGATCTCCTGACCTTGTGATCCGCCCGCCTCGGCCTCCCAAAGTGCTAGGATTACAGGCGTGGGCCACCGCGCCCGGCCTCATTGCCCGTTCTTTCTCCCGCTCTAGAACTCCGTATCCTGCAGACTCAGACGCAGGTTCTTCTATGGCCCTGGCTCTCCCACCCCAACAGCACGTGGCTTGCAGGGTCCGAGTCCTGGGCTCCATCTGCCGGGCCTCGGGTCACATGCAGGTCCCGCCATCGGCAGCAGCTCTGTGGCTGGGGTTGAACGCGTCCTCAGTGGGTGCTGCCTCTCCCGGGGTGACGGGGCCGTCTGCGGAGCGTCCGTGGGCCTCTCCCGGGGTGACGGGGCCGTCTGCGGAGCATCCGTGGGCCTCTCCCGGGGTGATGGGGTGTTGCACAGTCTGACTGAAGCATGGGTGACTATGAAATGTGATTGACAAAAAGGCTCAAACCTAGCGGGGGTGTCCTGTGTTCAGATTCTTTCTGGCTTCTTGTAGCCTTTCCTTCCTCCAGGTATGGGACAAAACCCTCTTTTTAGGTGCTGGCTATTTTTAGTAGAGACGGGTTTCACCATGGTCTGCATCTCCTGACCTTGTGATCCGCCATTGCCTCCCAGTGTTAGGATTACAGGCGTGAAGCATCAAGGCCTCGCCTCTCATTAAGCCTGCTTCTCCCCGCTTCTAGAACTCTCGTGATCTCCGTAGACTCCAGACGCAGGTTCTTCTATGGCTCCTGGCTCTCCCACTTAACAGTACGTGGGCTTGCAGGGTCCCAGTCCGCCGGGCTCCATCTCGCCTTGGCCTCTTCGGGTCACATGCAGAGTCCCGCCATCGGCAGCAGCTCTGTGGCTGGGAGAATGCGCGTCCTCAGTGGGTGCTCTCCCGGGTGACGGGGCCGCCTGCGGGAGCGCCAGGCCTCTCCCCGGGGTGATTGGCCGCCTGCGGAGCATCCGTGGGCCTCTTCCCGGGTGATGGGGCTGTTCATGAGCGTCCCGTGGCTCCGGGGCCGTCTGCGGAGCATCCGTGGGCCTCTCCCGGGGTGATGGGGCTGTCTGCTGAGCGTCCGTGGGTCCCTCGGGGCTGTCTGCTGAGCGTCCGTGGGCCTGTCCGTGGCCCCCCCCCCCCCAGGTTACTTCAGAGACCACTGGCTTGGGGACAGCATACTGTCCTGCTGGCCACATGGCCTGGGAGCCCCTCGAGGGGTCATCTGAGGGCGGGGGCTGCTGACCTGTGCCACAGGGAGGCGAGGAGGCTGTGGGCTCCAGGTGGGGCTAAACAGCCACCTGCAGCAGCCACCAGGCCAGACAGAGCCTCGGCCGGCTCAGATTCCAGACACCGCCCCTCAGCCCTGACCCCCAAGCCTCCTGCTCCCCGGCGTCCCCTCCCCAGCTCAGACAGCCCCATCCCGACACCAGAGACCAGGGGCTATTTTCTCTGCTGAGATGCCATAAAACGCCTGGCGTCGGGGAGGGGACAGCTGGTGCCATCGGGGAGGGGCCCTGGGCTCTCTTCGATGGTGCCAGACCAGGCCTGCTCCCTGCACAGCCTGGAGCTCCCTGCCTCCCAAGTCTAGACAAGGCTGACTTCCCAGCCCCGTGCACACAGCAGCAGCTAGGAACCCCATTCCCACGGAGGAACCCCCTTCTCCTGCTTCTCACTGGGAGAGCGAGGCCACCAGTGTCCCTCAGGGTCTGCTCAGAACGCCTGTTGACTGAGCCCCTGCCCGGGCACAGCTGGGCGTCCCCATGGCTCTGCCTCCGGCATCAGGACCTCTCTGGACACAGCGCTTCGTGGCTGAGGGTGGACGCCAAGAAGTGTCCCAGGCGGCTTAGCAGCAGCAAGTGCTTCCTGGCCTGCCGCTCACGGCCTTGTGTGCACCCCAGGGAGCCTCCAAGGCATGCATGTCTGTGTCACCGATGAGGACAAGTTTGGGCCACCTTGCCCATGGGGGCTGGAGCTGGCTGGGTCCCAGTGTGTGTGGCTCCACCGACCCCTGCCCAAGACGCAGCGGGGGCCCCTTCCAGCCACCGGGCTCCGGAGGCCACAGGGTGAGGAGGCGCCCCCGCCATGCCCGCCGCGCCCAGCAGGTGGCAGCAGTGCCCCGGGAAGCGCACAGGCCGCAGGGTTGGGGAGGCCACTGCCCCCTCTGCACGCGGCGGGTCTGGTGTTCTCGGGGTCCAGACGCCAGTGCGAACCCCGGCCGGTCCTCCCGACAGCAGGCGCCAGGACGCCGCATTCCAGGGGCGATGACGACGCAGGAGTGTATTTCAGGACGGCCCTGGCCACGATTCCGAACTCACCCCACGCCCAGTCCAGACCTCAGGCTGAGCCTCTGCTCGCCCCAAGCCTGGCCAGCCCCTTGGCCTCGCTGGGGAGGGCCAGGACCTCGGGGTCTGCAGCCCCCTGTGGACTCCACGGGCGGCGCCGGCAACAGCCAGTGAGACGGGGCTTCTCCCCACAGCGCAGCCCCTCACAGGGCAGCGTCCTGGACAGTTGGGTGGGCTGAGGCCAGAAACGGCCATTTTCTCTTAAAGTTTAAGACTTGTGAGTCCTGGGACGGAGACCAGAGGACTCAACCAGCATTTATCAAACACCTACTGTGTGCCGGGCCCTGCTGTGAGCTGGTCCCACTGTGTGCCAGGTCTAGTCCCACCTGTGGGGAGGGGGATCCAGTCCACACCCCATGCCCTGCTCAGAGGCCTCTCTCAGGAGCACTCCCCCGCCTACCGCAGGGCTAAGAGCAGGACAGATTCTCAGCATCGCCACGACCCACGAGAACAGCAAAATCAAACCAGCGTGCACTCACGCGCGTGCACACACACACACGATGCCCGACTGCCGGCGGGGACACCGGCCCTTCCGTGCTGCCCGTGGGGACGTAAGGTGCCCAGTCCCTGGAAAGCAGCCAGACCGTTTCTTCCACCACAGTGGAGCGCACACATCACATGCCTCAGAGAGAAGTGAAATCCGAGGAAACAGGAACAGCCTTCACGTAAAGCCCACACCCGTTTACGAGGCTCAGTCTTTTTTTTTTTCCACCCAGGCTGGAGTGCAGGGGCACTATCACGGCTCACTGCAGCCTTGACCTTCCAGGCTCAAGTGATCCTCCAGCCTTGGCCTCCCAAGTAGCTGGGACCACAGATGCATGCCACCACACCCGGCTAAGTTTTGTATTTTTTTTGTAGAGATGGGAGCTCACTTCGTTGCCCAGGCTGGTCTTGAACTTCTGACCTCAGGTGACCCTCCTGCCTCTCCCCCCACTGTGCTGGGGTTGCAGTGTGAGCCCCACGCCTGGCCCGAGACTGCTGGGTTTTGGATTTATCAGAGCTGGAACTGCACTCTAAACAGGATATGTAAAGTAGATGTAAATCACACCTCACGTATGTGATTTATATGCTAATTTTCTTGTAAACTGGGGCAGGGAAGCACGTG